TTTTTGTAATATTGAGCCATGGAGTCATGTGTAGAAGTTCAAGCAAGTGAAGAAAGTTTTCTGGGCGCCATTCAACTGGGAGTGACCAAAAACAATACTTTTACATAAGGCACAAGCAGCTCACGACTTCCGGCCTTTGACCAAGTATTCTCTGGGAAGGAAGATTCGAGAAACTGCAATCACACCCGAACACTTTTCTACTCGACTGCACTTCTGCTTTCTGAGAGCACTCATCAGCAGCTGGGTATAAGGGAACTGTGGAGCGGCATTTCAAGCTCCTTGAGTACCCTTGGCTTTCGGAAAATGCATAAGAACAGCTGTTACGACGAACAGTGCGGTGTCGCCGCAGAAAGAAAACAGACTGCATACCTCGCAACGTTACGATCGAACGCAACACGTGCGTAATGGGATAGATACCGAGAGTTGAAGAGGGAAACAAGACGCATTTAAAGACAGAAAAAGAGAGTGGTCGAAATGCGTGATTATGAAGAGCGTGGATATTGGGTAATTGTACGAATAGAAGCAGGTTTCAACACCGGAGCATCTTGTAAAATCCCAGAGGTGGTCAAGTGCCGGATGCAATTTGTGCAGAACAATTTTTAATGAATCCACGCACAGTTTCTATGGAATTTCCGGTAATCATTTTGATTGACCCACATGTTGATCGCCATTTATGTCCACACGGCCACTCGTGCACCCTGGGATAGGCAATCATCGGCATAAACTTGTTTCATCAATTGAAACGTTTCGGTAAAAGCTTAACCAATTTTAAAACAAAACTTAATGTTGACTCTTTGTTCGAAGCTCATTTTCGCACCGATAACACAAATATACTGACACTTAAACCGCAATAACTTCACTTCCAATCAATGAAATGTCATGAAATTCTCACTGGACGAAAGACAAAGATAGCATATTCTAACGCATTAGTCGACATGTAGAGGGGGCTACATTCAAAAAGTCCTGCTTACTTTGGAAGGCACTTTGTAGTCAAGCACTATGAAACATCCATCCCACGTACATATAATCAATCAATAGGTAGAAAAACCGCCGGCTCTACAAGTTGTAATTTTTATAAAGCGATGTGGCTTTGAAACCTTTGATGTTTCAGTACAACAGTATTGTATATTGTGAACGAGATAGGGCGGGGGATCAAACACTATTTCTTCCGAGCCCTGAGTTCTCAAATTGGTCCAGAGCACTGCAAAAAAGTTTTGCAGACTTTTTCTCCAAAAGTTCACTATAATCATTCTCGGACCCCATCTTTTGTCTTTACGGCACTGACTTCATACACTATGAGCTTTTGAGTTCGATGAATAAAATCTGAAGAATGCGAAGAAAATATATAAGTTCAAGCGAAGTGTAGCTTGCTTCATTACCTTTTACTTAAAAATAAAAAAAATAAATAAATAAATATAATTTTGTCTTCGGCACGTGCGTCTACCAACAGTTTGCCCCCTTTCAAATACTAGACTTTTATTTGGTCAGGTCAGCTCTAACCGATAAAAACAAAAAAAAAAAAAAAAATAGATCGTAGAAGCACGATATTTTTATGTGTTTCCTTAAGCTTGCAACGACAGCAAATTTTATAAAAGCCAAACAACTGTTAAGCAAAGTATAAAAAAAGGGGGTATTTAAAAAAGAACAGCAAAACCACACCTGAAAATAAAACAAAACTCTGCTGCGCTGTGTGTAAATCAGCAACGAAAATAGCGGGGCATGTGTCGCTTGTGGCTCGTGTCCTTTGAAATATTGCTTTGGATTCCACTGAGTTTCACTGTGCTTTCCTACACTCTTTGTTGTTGTGCTCATTGTTGCATTTCGTTGTCTTTTAAGTGCTTTGGTTCTAGCTTTCTTGCGAGTTTCGCTCCGCAGCCGGCGTTCATGAGCGACGTGTTCACTGCATTTGCGTGCACTAATATATTTCCTTGATACTAAATATTTCCTCGGACATGCGCTGACCACCCAACCATTACCAAATATGTGTGTGTGTGTATGCGTGGTTTCCCAGCGTAGCAGCGTTCCAACAGCATATAGCGAAAGACAGCGTAAGGCACACAGCATATTGTTGGCAGCACCACACTGTCATTTCGCTGCTCATGGCTTCCTCAAGTATTGCTGACATTTGATTTTATGCAATGCGATTTGGCGCACACGACCTACATGCATGTATGTGTGTGTGTGTTGCACATGTGACTTTTCACCTACAATAATTCGCCGCTTGAGTAGTCACGATTGCGCTGTGTGTGCGCTGGACGACATTTCTGCGTTGCCACCGAATTTCTTGGCTCTCTTCTCTTGTTTATTTATTAAATTCATTGTTTCCTTTTTGTCGTAAATTTTACTGTCAACGTTCGGTCAACAAATGCTCTTGTGGACTGCGGTCTTTTCAATTTGATTTATTATTGCAGTTATTGGTTAATTTGATATTCAGTTTGCAATGTCCCGACTGGGCTGAAGGAATTGTTGAGCATGAGAAAAATAGACCTTGGAGTACCTTTACTCTCTCCTTGTCTAAGACTTCTTCACATATTCATACAAAATTTTGTTCTAGTACCGTAGATAATATTTTTAGAACCGGAAAATCGCATCCGGTCTGCATAATCTAGAGAGTAGAACCGTTAGTTAATAATTTGTATAACTACTTTCATTGCAAAATTTGTCGAGGAGTTTTGTGAAGTTAAGGCCTTTCGCCTTGTTCCTTCTGGTTGCGCTCCTATTATCTCTATTCGTCCATCTTATGAACGAGATTTCGTTGAATATTTCAAAGTATTTGACTTTTGACTTGATAACTGACATTTCTTCCCATCTTCTACCCGAATTCATAATTTAGATCAGTTTCTATCAATGCTATCCACCATTATGTTCAGAGTTTCGTTAAGAATTCTAATTCCTTTGAAAGTACATTGATGTATGATGCATGTAGATGGCATGTAATTATATATGGAACTCGATTTCTTTTACATGAGAAACACGGGCACGCTTGCAGAAGTTCAAACGCTGAATGCAATTTTCGATGATTTTCAAGCATAAATCGGCCGATACTTTTACAATCTCCCGTTCAATATTCGTACGAAGTCCATCAAGCGGCCAACTGAATGGACCAATTCGTGAGATAACACGTTCAACAAACCTGGTTTTCAATAAACCGATTGTGATAATCACTTTGTGGCGCCGTCCTGTTGAAACCGCATATTGTCCAAGTCCATGTCATCCGATTTGGGCCAAAAATATTCGGTAATCATTGAGCGGTAGCGGTTCACAGTAACGTGCGGATCTTTATCATCACGGAAGAAGTACGACCGAATGACGCCGGCGGCCCAGAAACTGTATTAAATCGTAATTTTTTTGGGATGCAATTTGAGTCGTCCTCAATTGATGCGCTAGCGGTAGTAATATTTTCGACACTACGGACACTTCTTTGTCTCACTGGCTTTTTAATGAGTCTGCGGATTCAAATTATTCTATTAGAAGCTGAATTGTAGATCTGACAGGGCGATTATGATGACTATTAGACGTAGTGCTCTTAAAGTTGGGTCACTGTCTCCGAATTTCGGTAGTAAATTTTTATAATTTTGACTATTTTGAAAAGAGCGTAATTTGATGTCCCTGTTGGTCTACTTTTGCAGCGTTCCTATTGAAACCCCCGTTTAGTAACTTTCCCAAACAAGGGTTTGATATTGATCGGTCAGTTTATATGAGAGTTATATTCTATAGTGCTGCAATACCGACGATTTCAAAAAATGAACAGATTCTTGGGAAGAACAGGACGTAAGAAAATTTTCAGATCGATATCTCTTAAATTGCAGGTGTAGTTTGCGTGTACTCAGATACATATACGGATGTGTAAAAATGGCTAATCACTTACCGATATACCAACTATTCCTTTTGACTGTCAAACTTCGTCGCGCATAACCTTTTCAGGAGAGTAAGGTAAATTGATATAAATATTATGATTTGATAAACAATCAATAATATCACTACTCACCATAACATTCAGTCATATTTTCAATTAAGCTACTTAATTATCCGTTGTGTAATGGCATTACAAAATAACCAGAAATAAGCTTTTAATTTTTCCACTCATTGAAAACATCTTGATCACTTCACAAAATTACTAGGCACTAAATATTCTTAACATCAACTGCAATAACTGCCATAACTTAATATTTCGTGATCATTTTTGATATTTGCATACAGACAAGCCGGTTTTGAGTATCGTTAAAAATTACTTTATTGAAAATTATTTCATTTGTTTCGTTTACTTCTCAATCACAATGCGAATTTATAATGCTATTTCTACCTACAATAGAACACAAAAAATCTCTGCTTTTCTAAAAAACTTATACAGTACTTATATGCGAGTGAATGGGAGAGCTAAGTGCTGCTTATCGGCCATATCCTGTTTTGAATCCTGACGATGCTGATGAAGATGCTGAAGCTGATGCTGACGATGATGCAGATGAATGAGCTGAACTACTTGCACCACCATAGCCTCCACTGCCGCCATAACCACCTGCACCACCACGGCCACCAGCGCCATAGCCACCAGCACCACCGGCTCCACCAGCACCACCACCACCAAAAGCACCGGCTCCACCAGCACCACCACCACCAAAACCACCGGCTCCACCAGCGCTACCGCCACCAAAACCGCCGGGGCCACCGAAACCTCCAGGACCTCCCAAACCTCCACCTAGGCCAAGACCAAGACCAAGACCTATACCAGAACCGCCGGCACCATGGCCATGTTGTCCGTGTTTTTTATGACCGTGACCATGACCACCACCTTGGCCGCCAGCACCGCCACCAAAGCCGCCATCGAAACCGGCGCCTCCACCGGAGCCTGCAGATCCAAATCCACCAGCACCGCCACCATAACCACCGGCACCAAATCCACCTCCAGCAGAGCCACCTGCTGATGCTGAACCTTGTCCTCCAGCTCCACCTTTTCCACCACCGAAACCTCCTGCGCCACCAGCTCCTCCACCTAATCCACCTCCAAAGCCTCCGTCAAATCCGCCTCCAGCGCCGGAACCGGCTGAACCACCAGCTGAACCTTGTCCACCGGCACCACCTTTACCGCCGCCATATCCACCACTGGTTCCTGCACCGCCAGAGCCACCAGCAAGTCCACCTCCGTAACCTCCGGCGCCAGAGTTAGCCGAACTACCGGCGGATGCTGATCCATGTCCGCCGGCGTTACCTTGACCGCCACCAAAACCTCCAGGTCCACCTCCGAAGCCTCCATCAAAACCACCACCTGCGCCGGAACCGGCTGAACCACCAGCGGATCCACCAGCTGAACCATGTCCTCCGGCACCACCTTTACCGCCGCCGTAACCACCAGCGCCGCCTGAACCGCCACCTAGTCCACCTCCAAAGCCTCCATCAAATCCACCTCCGGCGCCAGCATTAGCAGAACCACCAGCTGAACCGTGTCCTCCGGCACCACCTTTACCGCCGCCAAAACCACCAGCGCCTCCTGCACTGCCAGAGCCACCACCAAGTCCAGCTCCGAAACCTCCAGCGCCAGAGTTAGCCGAACCACCGGCCGATGCTGATCCATGTCCGCCGGCGCTACCTTGACCGCCGCCAAAACCACCAGGTCCACCTCCGAAGCCTCCATCAAAACCACCACCGGCACCGGAACCAGCTGAGCCACCAGCAGATCCGCCAGCTGAACCATATCCGCCGGCATTGCCTTTGCCGCCACCATAACCGCCAGCACTGCCTGAACCACCAGCACCACCACCTAGTCCACCTCCAAAGCCACCTGCACCGGCTGAACCACCAGCAGATCCACCAGCTGAACCGTGTCCTCCTGCACCACCTTTACCACCGCCATAACCACCAGCGCCTCCTGAACCGCCACCGAGTCCACCGCCGAGGCCTCCATCAAATCCACCACCACCGCCGCCGCCGCCTGCGCCAGCGCTGGCTGAACTACCAGCGGAAGCATCAGATGAACCGTATCCACCAGATGCGCCTTTACCGCCGCCATAACCACCAGCGCCGCCTGAACCGCCAGCACTTCCATCAAAGCCGCCTCCAGCGCCTGCACCACCACTATCTCCCAAACCAGCGCCAAGGCCTAGACCAAGCCCAAGGCCGCTTGATGCAGAACCACCAGCACTTGCACCACCAGCTCCACTTCCACCATAACCTGAACCGGAACCGGAACTGCTTGCCGCATTAGCGGATGCCGAACTCAAACTGGCGCCACCGCCTAAGCCAAGACCCAAAAGGCCACCTTTACCACCAACATCAAGTCCAAGGCCTAAACCTAGGCCACCGGACCCTCCACCAGCATGTGATACTCCATAGCCTGCGAAAGAAATGACACGCTTCGTGAACACACTCTAAACTAAACTCATTCCGTCATCCTTACCGTTGCTCAAGGCCAGTGAAACTGCTAACAAACTAAACACTGTAAACGCTCGCATGATCAGAACTCAAATGTTGCGCTCAATACCCGCAGATGCGCTTATATAGAACCCATTCTAGGCGCCAATTAAAATCAACGTTCAGCGAGCAGTGCAAAAACTTTGCTTTCATCACTGTCTACCCCTTTGCCCTGCTAGAGGGAAATGCGAATAAAAAGTCTTGATCGTGGATTAACCGATAATTCACTCATAATAACATTCAACTTACTTGCGCATGTACAAACCTACTTTTAATATAATATACATATATATATTTATGTATATCAGTGTAAAGCTCACGTTTGGGGGAAACCTCAATCCCCGTCAACCAGTTGATGTGCTCACTGATTACTTTGCATATTATTGAGGCATAAAATTCAGATATGCGAAATTGTTCTTCTCCCAATCAACGATTGCGCTTTCTTACTATTTGTTTTCTTTCGGGATGCACCCTATACTCGGTTTTAAGTAATGTTTGGTGCCCATTTTTGAATGTGATAATTCTTTGAAAAACCTGGAGCTAATGTTTAAAACGAGTCTTGGTTAACTGTCTCTACATATTTTAAGGGCAATCGACATAAGCATCTTTTGTTGGATAATGTTGGATGATTAGAAATCGAGTTGAATATTACATTCATAGTGACTATATGGTGTTTTTTCCGTCATGTCTTGAGAACTCGTGTTCTAGTCTACCTTTTACTTTGAAAAAAAAAAAAACATATTTTCCTTTTAAAACAAAGTCTTTGTTTCTGATAGTTTTTCAAGTCGAAGTTGCTCCGTCAGTCAGTATATTTTTAGTACGTCATTTTCTGTTGGTATCTTTTCAAGTTTCTTTTCTCATTTTGGTCTTAATTTCTCTCATTTTAAATTAGAGTTTTGAAATACTCTTCCTTGACTCTCGTCCTAAAACCTGATTGAAACAGTTCTCAGTAATAAAAACGTATCGAACTGATCTCCCAACCCAGAAGAAAAAGAATACTAGTGATAAAAGCTGAGAGAATACTTGTCAGATCTCGATTAGATCCATGAAAGAACACTTGTAGGACATCACTTAGATTCAAATGCATGTGATCTTCATAAAACAGAGACAATCTTATATACTTATGCATATATAGTTGAAATTCGTCTCAATTCAGCAGGCGAAGAGCAAACGCTTAAATGTTTATATATCCTCGAACATTCTATAAATTCTTCTTGTTCTACTTGATCTCAGGGTTATGTGCTCTGAGACTAAGTTACAATACATCTTTCGTAAAAGAAGAGGCTTTTTGGTATATCATGTTTACTATGGAAATTCTAACACCCAGCAGAAAACGTCGGAGACTGTGTGATATATATACCACATATAAAGAACCAGCATGACAAGCTAACTCGATTTATCTACATGCTCTGTATATACGCAAACCATTCCATCAGTTTTTGAGATATCAATCTGAAATTTCGCACACGTTTTGTTCTCATCATTTGTAGCAATCGCCAATATCGGAACACTATATCATATAGCTGTCATAAAAACTGAACAATCACAATCAAGTGCTTGCATGGAAAATTTTTTCATCTTACAAGATATCGTCAAGATGTTTGGCATGGAATATTGTCTGAAATGCGCCGCATTCTTCGCTGAAATTCTTCAAATCGAGCAGCTATCAGAAAAACTGAATTAAAATAAAATAAAATAATTCTACGGAATTTTTTGAATTTCTGAAAGGCATTATAGCTTCGACGAAGCTAAAAGAAGTCAAAATTTTTTCTTGCCTTCAAATTTTTAGTTTTTGTGATAGCGGTGTTCCAAGCCTTGTGTGGTTCCAGAATTTGAATGAAATAAAGTAAAATTCTAAGAATAATAAATATATTTTAATTCCTCAAAAACCATCTACTAATTAATAAAAGTATCATCATTATATGTCACTAAAAGTCGTCGTTCCTCTATATTTTGTAGAACCGAGGTAGGGAGTGACTACCCCTTTTTTGTAGCGCATGCGTCCCATAACCTATTCGTAATGACAGCAAGCGCTCGTAATTTGTATGCGAAACAGGTTTTCTGGATTTTTTATTCCATATGAAATTTAACGACACCAAACCAGATGCCACATTCGACATCAACAAATTACGCTACGAAATTAACAAAATAAAAACAATTAAGAAGAAGTGGGAACAAAAATAGAAATTTTATAACCGGCAAAATGCACACATACAGGTGCACACAGATAAAAATACTTCTAAATATGATATTGAATTACAAGTCATAAAAAATAGAAACAAATTAATTTTGCTTCAAAAACATAGACAAAAATCTACAAATCTAGAATCGTGGGTGAAAACAATAATAGCTCAAAAGGTTTGGTTCCTCCGACAGAAGTTGTTGGAAACCTGAAACCAATTTTTTTTTTATCAAAATTTCAAACTTATTTGTTTCAGTAATGAATATATGTTTACGGCTGACATTGGACCTCGCCAATCAATCACATTTTGTTTTTTTTGTGGGCCTGCGCTCTGTCAGCATGACTCTCTCAAGCATATACCTAAATATGTATATGTAGATTCGTACGTTTATTAGCGATCATATGTGAATACAAAAACATTCTCACCACTTTGTTGCGTGCCTAGAAAATATTGTTCAGCCGGTTTTACCAGCTCACCTTTTGCTATTGTTGCTGCTATCAGTGACGTAGTGCTTTTGATTAATCATGGTTATTGCTGAAGGTGTATATGTAGTACATACATATATATATTTATGTAGATATATCGTTCTACATACGTTTACGACAGTGAACGTGCTCGCCAAAAAAGAATTACAATTTTGACAAATCACTTTATTATAAAAGCTTATTGAGACATCCATATGATTTGAATGCTTATTTGTAATTTCTAAATTAATGGATTTCCCAGCTATTCAACTTGTTTAATTTAACTCAAAATGAAGGGATTAAATATTTTTGATTATTTCATATTTTTTATTTTTATTTATTTATTTATTTTTTTTTTTTTCTATGAATATTAAATATTTTTTGTGGTTGACAGTCACGTTTTTAACGCTTTGATTCGTGGTTTTGCGAGTATATTGTGGGTATATTTTTCGAATATCATCATCTATCGAATAACTGATGTAGATAGAAGTAGTTTTATGATTTAATACATAACATACCATATAAACTTTCTTGTTTGAAAAATTCAAGCAGACTCATCTCATTTCTTTAAAATTGCCTATAATGTGGACTTTTATCGACCCACTGTCCCGCACACACTATGATCTTAACCAAATTCGTTTCAACTGCTTTCCTTATATCAAAGTTCACTGGAAGTCATCGGAGGAAGAAACGCAGATTACTTATAAATTTTCGAAAAGTGGGAGTGGCCGACGAACCAGTCAAACTAAATGAACAAAACTCAGTGAGGATATGCAATTTAACTACCTATGAAATATTATCGATCTACAACTATACCTACTTTATACGTACCATAAATATCTGATTAAAAACTCTTATGCCAACGATATTTCCAATTCTCGAAATACTTTTTATAAGACATTTTTGGAATAGCCTTCAGATCCTTCAGCAAATTTTGCTTTGTCCCTTCGATCGACTGAAAACATGTTCCATTCCGATGTATGTTGACTTGTTTCTAAGTCAAACTCATAAACCCATGTATCAACGGCACTTCTAATGAATGTATGATCGGAAAAGACGTTCGATCATGTCTTAAGAAACCTGTTTACGGCACACTTTTTGAAAAAAAAAAAAAAAAAATCAGCTTTGTCGGAATGTGTCGGGTAAAAACGCATTCCATACACAAAATATCAACCAAAATCTTTCAAACGGACTCCCGAGAGATGTAAAATTCTCTTGCCATCTGTATAATACTTGCCTGATGATTTTCAATCACAATGTCTTTTTCATCAGTTTAAGCGGTCGAAGGTCGAGAACGAGGTATGTCTATAACGATCTCTCGCCTCTCTTTGAAGATTTTGTATCACCCGTAGACTAATTTTTTTGATAAAGCCGAATCCCCGTAAAGATTCGTAACTATTTCACAAATGATATTTTTTCTCAATATAAGAGAACAGGTCAAATGAAAAGTTCCAAGATTAACATTAAAAACAAAAAAAAAAAAAAAACATTTTTGGCAAAATTCGCTTAAGTTTCCCTCAGGGTTGATACACTTATTGAACTTACCATCCATCATTTCGCTACCATTTTTTATACTGGTATTGCCGTTTGTTTTAAAATAAGCCTCAGTTTCGGTGTTAACCTATTCATTTGACGAAAATTTCTTCCCAGTGAGCATTCTTTTGAGATCTGAGATCAGCAAATAGTCCCAAAGGGCCAGATCTAGGAAATACGGTGAATGTGGAAGCAATTCAAGACCCATTTCATGGATTTTTGTCACTGCTCCGAATAATCAATAAGTCGTTGTTGACCACTATTGGTTTTTTGAACTAAAAGTTTCTCCCCCACCATTAGAGAAACCAAAGCAAAGTAAACAAATGAAATGAACAAATTTTAAATGATTAATTATTAAATTAGTTATCTATTTAATTCTTAGAACCAGAAGAGAAAACGTTGTCATATTACCGATGAATGATTACTTCTATTAAGTAGCGTTCGTAATTCTTGGAGCAGTTTTTGATTTATTTATTTATTTATTTTTTCTTCATTGAAACAAAATTATTTTGTTTTTATCTCTTCATTAAGCGAATCGCCATAAAATTGCCGACATACATAATTTACGCTTAAATTGACATTAGTAAACAAGCCGCACAATATACAAAATACGACATAGTAAATTTTTATAGCTTATTGCTTGTTTTCTCCAATACATTTTTTATACGCTTTTAACAACTTCTATTCTTTGCTCTGCGCTACCGACTAGTGCTTCGATTGTCCGCACTAACTGGATGTGACGCACGCACGCCAGCAAAACAATTTAGGCGAAACAACGGGAGCGTAAAAAATCGCATAATTGTGGAAGAATTTTATTAAATGATTTTCGTGTTAAAAACAATGGTTTATGACTTTTATTTTTTTATCCACTGGGTATTTTATTAATTGAAAAA